ATATTGTACTATCTTAAAAAAGTAATTCAAGTGTAATTAAAATCACACCACGATTTTTATTTCTTACACCACATTTTAATTGTACTTAAATGTCTTAATAATATTTTTTTTTTTGTTCATTATAACACTTATATCCATCAAAAGACTTTAGATGCATATTGTGAAAAAGAGAAGAATTGATGAAAATATTGTCAAATTAAGTTTTTTGGTATTAGTGTGAACTTTCATGAATTTAAGCGTTTATTATTTTATATAATCGTAGGATTTTAAAGGATTTGAAAAAAATTTATTATCTTATACGTTTAACATGGTTATTAATTTAGTACACCGACCCAAGTCAGAATTGAAGAATTTTATTATTTAAGCGAGATTATTAATTTGTCGAACATTCATTTATCAATATTTTACTATATATAGGCCCACTGTTTGTGAATTTACTTAATACATTCGTTATATCATATTACTCTACATTCACTTCAAAATATATTCTACGTTTATTTTGAGTCGATTTTAATACAAAGACAGTCCTAAACGTGATCGTTGTATCTTAGGAAACGACTGCCGAAAGTATTTAGCACCCGTGCGAGAAATTATCGTCTAAAGGAAAGATAATCATACTCATACCTCGACCAAAAGTGAATTTTTTTTCGACATTTCTTATAAGTCGAAATTTTTATACGATTTTTGCATTTTATTAAGTTAGTAGTCGAAATATAATATTTACACTAAATTTTACCAACACAACTTATAAGCATCAATAGTTCACTATAGCTTGTAAAGATGGCCCTTGCTTACACACTTAGCCTATTTTGTGTAGTTAAAAATTATTTTTTAATAGATTTCGATAAATGTTGATAAATGTGTGGTTAAAAGATTGTGAATCTTATTAAATATGTGTTTAAATTAATTATTAAATTTAACTTAAATTAAAATCAAAATTTTAATCCCACAAACGGGGATTTAATGACTTCAAATGAAGTCGGTTTTCTTGTGTCTTAATACTTTTAACACTTCGAATATACATTAAAA